CTCTGCAGAGCCAGCTGTCAATCAGGCAGCGGAGTGGATCCCGAAACTGTTGGGATCTTTCCTGGCTGCAGCATGGCTCTGTACTGTCAGCAAATAGCGGGCTAGATGCTGACTTTGGATCACAGGAGTACATTAGTAAATGTAATACTTTGACCCAGAAGAGGACTTAAGCCAAAAAAACTGGCTTCAGTTCTCGTTAAACCTGATGTGCCTCTTTAAAAAAAAAAAAAAAATGTAAAAAAGTTCTCGCCAGAATTGGACCAGTGAGATTTTTTATTCCCCTAGAGAATAAAATATGAAATCTAGGTGATCTTTGGTAGAGAAGCTTCTTTTGTCCATGTAACCTACATGTTTTAACCTACAGGTGTGAGAAGTTCATAGCAACGTTTGACTGGCAGATGATTATGAATCTGGAAAGATTTTGCGTAAAGTTTTATTTTTATTGGAAATCATTCACTTTTGAAGAGTTTTTTGGGGGGGTTTTCTTTGCATCATTGAAACCTTGTTACTTTTATGATTGTCTAGTCCAATCTTTGTTGAGTTAGTCAAAAAAGGTGAGCCATAACTGCTCATAGAGAATTACACATAGTGAGACTTCTGCCGGTCCTTGAACTTACAGGGATCTGCTACTCTAACTTTTACCTCATCTATGGAAGGTGCAAGGCAGTTAAAAATGCAAAGTGGTAACAAACCCAACATGGGTTAAATTAATGTACACAGTATGGCCATCCTTAGTATAAAGTATGATTGTGAATGTTCCTTAAGGAGAAAGCATTGGTTTGTATCTATTAGTAAATACAACAGAAATTACGTGAACCTTTTGAAGGTCATATTTTCTAGCTTGGTAACTTTCAGTTCTTTCACCTAGTAAACATAAGAAACACAAATATTTGAGCAATATCCCTGAGGGATTTAAACCCAACGGAGAGGAAAAAAAATCCCGCCCGAGAGGGAGTGTTTGTCCAGCAGCATTCCTGGAGTGAGCTGGGGATTCCACACCCTCAATCAGACTGCTGATTACACCAATTGTTCCTGTAACCTGGCCTGTGACTGAGACTTGTGAGAACACAAAACCACTGCAGAACCTAACAACTCAGAGTAATCACCGCACTAACCTGACAATGTAACCGTAATCTGCCCACCATTACGCATTAGCGGAGAAACCGCACAAAGTTTCTTTTTTCAGGTTACATTGCTTTGACCGGTTAACACAAAGGAGAAACTATCAGACCTTTGGATGACGTGCCTTTCACCTGACGTGCATTCATTGTATTTTAAGCATCCAACAATCTGAATAGAGCAGTAGGTTAGAACCCAACTCCAGACATTTTTTTCTGGCAAGGTAGATCAGAGAAGGATTAGAACCTGTATGGGTGCTACACAAAACAGAAAATGAGGGCAAAATCTCCTCTGCAGGAACACAGACAGCATTTAAAACTCTGTGTTTAGGTTTTGAAATAAGTTTTCCCATTTTATTTTCCCCACTAGGTTGCGCAGCTTATCAAAGTTGGCCCTTCTGAAGTTTAGGGTTCTAGTCCTTCCAGTACACTTCCCTTTTCTGTGTTCAATATTAAAAGTAATCACATTGTGATCACTATTACCCAATGACTCCCCAATTACAATATCCTCGATTAACTCTGCATTACTCAGTATTAGAACTTCACAGTTCTAATACTTCTCTGTTTTATTCAACACTAGAAATAAATTTGGGCCTAAGGGATTTTGTCTATGTATTTCCATATTATTAGCTGAATGATCAGAGCGTCAAACAGAAAAAGCCCCTCTGTGTAATAAAGTGCATTTGTGCCCACTTAAACCATGTTCTAGCTTTCAGTTGAAGTCATATTCTCTCTCCAACAGAGAACTGGAATGCTAGACAGGTACTTCACAAATTTTTCAAGGGAACCTAAGACCAGTTTATGGGAATTCAAATATTTACACATCTAACAAACCATAAATGAGCATTAAAGCAACCCCTTACTAATCTCTGTAGCTGCATGTACTCTGAAGCAATCAATCCTCAAACTTCACAGCAGATGCTGAGAAGTAGTTCAGATTAATAGCAGAGGAATTGTGATTGGTTGGTGTGGGTTATTGAAGTTTCAGTGGTGCTTTATTAAATACACCTGGCTAGAAATGATATCAGCCAAACAACTAGTGCAACCATCTCACCTAATACTGTTATTTATACATTAAGAAAATTTAGCAAAATGGTAAGTTAGCACTGTAAGCAAAAATTTATTGACCTGACTTCTTGTCTTTGCAGTTGGTAAACCTCATAAGTGCAACTATTGTGGCCGGAGCTACAAGCAGCGAAGCTCCCTTGAAGAACATAAAGAGCGTTGTCACAACTATCTACAAAATGCAGGACTGGAGAGTGGCCATGGAACGGGGCCTCATAGTGGTAAGTACACCTCAGTGTTATCCCTTTTGACATCTGATACACAGTTGAAAAATGTAAGGCTTTTTTTCCCCTAGTGTAGGGGGTCTGAAGACTATTGGTTTGTTTTCATTGCAACATTTGAGTTCTTGTCTATACTTTTATGTATTTTTTATTGTTTGCTCTGCCATATTGTGACTAATTTTAATTGTCTCACGCTAACTGCAGTCATTTTCAAGAGTATATATGTGCCTGTGTTGCATTGTCTTCTGTTGTTGCTGCACTGCAGAAAGATAGTTCTGAATTGAATTGAAATGTACAGAGCATCCTTTTACACGGCTGTTCACCGCCCATACTGGACACTGACACTGACAGTACACTATCACTGAACAAGATACACAGCCACCAGAATGGGCATGAACCCACAACATACACAATCACAAGACTGGGCTCTGACCTACAACATACACTGTCACTAGTCTGGGCACTTACCCACAACATTCACCAACACAAGACTGGCAACTTAATCAACAGAAAGCTTCCCCAGCACACTGCTATGCTATGATATACCAGCTCTCCTCTGTTACAATCCTAACTCCCCATCGCACAGCAGAATGTTGGAGGCAGCTTACCCAGACCTTTGAGTGTGTAAGCAAAGCAAACCTGTTTCTGACAAGGTATTATGCAATAGAAAGAGGAAGATAGTGCAGATTTTTTATTAGGTTATTGACTGGTGCTCAGATAACACTGTACTGGTCCATTTTAGGAAGTCGGCAGAGCTTCACCTCATTCACTAAGCTAAGGGAAAATCCCCTTGCAAAATAAAAAGCCTATTTGCCTTTAGTAAATCAACCCCGTAGTCCCAAGTTGCTGTATACATCCAGTCAGTTAATTTAGCCTTGCGGATATTTTTTGGATTTGGAATTTTTTGGGATATTTTTGGAAATTATTTTTGACTGGGTAAATTTCAATCAAGAAATTCCCTCGGGGAAAAAAGAAGTATCAGCAGTGTTGGAATTACTATAAGCATCAGTAGCAAAAGTGTTTGAAAGAAGAAACGCTTTTATTGCCCATAGCAGTCAGTCAGACTCTCTCTTTCCTCCATTATACTGCCCTAAATGAGTTGCTAGAATTTGATTTGGCGTTTCCTTCTGCAACTTTTGTAATAGTGATAAGGTAAAATAGAGGAGCAGCATGTATACGTGACATAAAAGAACTTCTTATAACACATACATGCACTTACATTTAATGTACAGATGTGGACAGATTTGTTGGTACCCTTCCATTTCACTTTTCAGAAATCATTTGTTTCAATGAGCTGTAAGGGTGCCAGCAAATGTGTTAACTTACTATGTAATACTACACAAACCCACACGAAAAAAAAAGTTTTTATTTTTTATAAACTCTGGAGTTTATTGCTGTGTATTTTATGCCATGTTAGTTGGAGGCTCAAAGTACACCTGCGAGGGTGTAAATATGGAAGTTGCCATTGCTGACTTGTGTTAAAGTTGCAAGCTCCAGGTTTGCAATCCTGATCCTGATGTCAATGGCTGGTGAGTAACTGATCTAGAACAAGTCTTCAGGATGGAAGTTCAGGCTATTTAGACACCACTGTTTGTATGCTTGTTCTAAGTCAATTACTCGCCAGGATGACAGCCCTGGAGCCTAGAATTAAAGTATAGCTAAACCCAAAAACAAGGTGGCACCATTAGTTTCCTTTTTTTCAGACTCCTTTCCTTTATTTTTCACCTGGGGATCCTTTCAGTAACATACTCTGTCATAGGATGACAACTTACTCACTTGCCTGTTTGGAGGAGCAGCGTTGTCACCTTAGGACGACATAGGGGGAGATGTTCTGTAGTCTTCAGAGGTAACTGGGAACAATGTAACTGCTAAAATTGCAACACAGACAGAGAGCACAGGTAAGTGACTAGATTTCTGGCAGGATCAACATGTTTTTGATTTTTTTTTTTTTGCAGTTATCAATCGGGTATAACAAAACACTTTTAATTGTATATTTAACAGCCCAAAAGGGACCATATTAGAGAGGTTCATTGTGGTGTACATACTCTTGGGGGAAGAAAACAAGTTATCAATGGGAGCTTCATATCTATCCTCACAGGTCCACTTTAAAAGTCTGATGACTGACAGATAGGATTAATGGATAGGAAGTCAGCCTTGTACAACCTTCATTTTTAAATGTATTCAGTTCTGATAGATTTTGTAAAGTTTACCATATTTATGAATGATTTGTAGCAAAGACTGACTTTTAGTTTGTAATTAGCAGTTTTTGAAAGGCTCATGATAAGCTACAATGATGCATTAGGCTTTCAAACTAATATTCACTCCTGAATCTATGCAGAGTTCTAGTAGCTGGCAGGACCTGGAGACGTTATATAAGAATTGTTGATAGGCTTCCTCAAAGTTCTGAGGCTCATTGTTTAGTATAGCTTTAAATAAAATCAACTGTGTCTTGCTTGGTTTCCTCATGCCAGCAAGTGATTCTGATGTGGACTTTTGGTTCTGTATAGCATCTCCTATGGATGAGTGTAAGAATCCAGAGATCCTGATGGAGAACAACATGTCTTTGATATCCTTTGAAAGACCAGCTGTCATAGAGAGAATTGCCAGCAACATGGCGAAGCGTAAGAGCTCCACCCCACAGAAGTTTGTGGGTAAGCATCAACTTTCTTTTCCTTAGAACTCCATGCTTAAAGTAAAGTCTCATGACAAGTTGAACAATCGCTATTTATTTCAGCATTTTTAAGGAAACAAACATGCTTCCCAAAAAAACCTTTTGACAGGACAGACTCTGTCTTTGGTTTGGAAAAAATGGGTTGAGCTTAAAGAGGCTTGGTTTCTTAGATATGCTTGGAATGAGCTGGGATTTTGGTGTGTTTGGTGGGATGTGGCTTAACATGTCCTGGTTTTAGATTTCAAAAGATTTGGAGGTATGAAATTGTTAAAGCATGATCATCAAGATTATAGGGAATGTATTTGAAAGGTTTAGGTCTGGATGAGGGTATAGCTAGCCTCTTCTTGGCCCTGGTGCATTATGTGATCAATGTTCTTCCAGTATTTACATTACTAATATTTGACACACACACACACACACACACACACACACACACCTCATACACTACGGTAAGCTTATACATTTATCTGAAATTAAACAGTCATGTTGCTTTAATTGGTACAATGGGGAGGGGAAACATTTCAGAATCTGAGCTGAGTAAAGCCAACCCCCTCTGAGCCCTTGGCCCAATAGCAATTGTAAACCTATACAATAATAAAAAATAGAGACAAATAATATAGTGCAACTTTAGTTAAACAGAATACTATCCAGACTTGATATATAAAAAACTATACTTGCATACAGATACTTAAAGCCAACCTCCAGGAAAAGGGCTAAATACAGTTGAAATATGTATATGGAAACTGCCTAATATGCTAACATCTTTGTAGTTTGGTTCTGTCAAGTCATGAGATTTAGGACTGCCAGAGAGCACATCTTGGTTGGTGACCTAACTTTTCATTACTCGAGTTAAGCAATACAGCTTAGTCACTTCCATCCCTTAGGGTGTAAATAGACATGGGAAAAAAACCCAGTAGACTGATCACTCCTGTCAGCATGCTCATTTTCTCCACATGTAGTCACATAAGAGCCTAATTGGCTCCTAGTGGTTTTCCTCCTTCCGCAACTCTTCGTTGTACTGTGCAGTGGATTAAACGAGGCAAATATCTAGACATACATGGGCAACCTCAATAGTTGCAATTAAATACGTATACAGTATATTTTTTAATAACTATTAATCACTGCATTAATTGGGCTTTTCTTATCTGCCAGGGGTTTACCTTTAAAATAATTAATTAATTTCCTTCTAACCCTATTTAGGCTATTTATTAAATAGTTTTGTTTAGTGAAATGACTTGAAAATCTTTGTGTAACCGAAGTCAGTCCACTAAGGCAGTAGCATTACATTTCCCCCTAACAGTTATATAATATGAATATTCAGTGGAGGTAAACCACTATTTCCTATGAGAGGAAATAACATCCATCTGACACACGTTCCTAAATGTGAAAGAAGCAGACAGGTTTTCAGCAACATAGCACGGGAAAGTCCCTGTGTGCATACTGAAATGGTGTATCTGCTTGCATATTTTATACACATTTCACACACAATCAGTTTTGAAGTGTGTAACTCGCATCGGAAATGATCACTTACATATTTGTGATATTCTGGTAAATGTCTCAGTATAGGATCCAAAGTACATTCTACGTAAAGATGTCACAACTCTTACTTGGCTGAAAGGCAGCATATATACCTCCCAGCATTTTGAAATACCCGATCAGGACAAACCTCACCTTTATCAACCCTAAAACTTGCCTTAGGTATTAAAGGGTGGTGGTGCATGCATTTGACTACTCAGAGATGTATTTATTTTTTTAACAGATGGTCACATAAACGGGCACGCTGAGATCACCCAAGCGTGCTTGTTTATGTCTCTGGAAGAGAAGCATAGACAAAAACTTTTGGTGCAAGCAATCATAGTTGGCTGGGGCTATTAAGCAATTAAGCATTGCTGGTCACTCTTTTTTTTACCTGTGATCTGGGGCAGACTTGGTATGATCTTGTCGTCTGTAAATCAGAAGCAAATCTCCCATGATCCTCAGTAGACCGCCCATCCTTTATTTAGCACCTAACCTATAAATTATTAAACCGAATTCTCCAGATGGCTGCTAGGACTCTGCAAGTTGGAGTTTTCCTACTATGTTGTCAGGCAGTTCTTATTTCTAAATAAACAGTGTAGCGCACTGTCTGTCAACCCTACAATAATTCAAGGTTCAGTCCATCAATAAATGAAAAAAACAAATTACAGTAGAATCTTGCTAAACTCTAGATTCTTCTAGATATTCTGCATTGAGATAAGTAAATTGGAGTCCATAAGCCACTCCCACTATAGGCAGAATTATTACATTTAAGTAAAATCTGTCATATATCGGAATAGAAATGATGATGTAAAATGGACAAACAGAGTTTTTAGTGAGATCCACATGCAAAATGTTTTGTAAATCCAGAGATTTAGGCAGCTAAAATTATATGGAAATCTTGTTTTTCTGTAAGAGTTGAATCCACCCGCTCTTGCTTCCGGAGCTGCCCTATTGTACTATAACATTATGCTGCATCACTGACCTATAGTGAGACTCAAAAGACATACAGGGTTATTCACAAAAGGGTGAAGAGTTTGGAGACGGTAGGAGAAGTGAACAATCTAGGACAACATAGCTGAACTGGAAAGTGAGCTGAATTGGAGAATTTTTCAAATCGCCTTTTTTTGGCCTAGATTGTTCACTTCTCCTGCCTCATTCAAACTCTTCACCCTTTTGTGAATAACCCCCATTGTCTTGCTTCATTTTACACAGAAAGACAAGACTGGCAAATAATTTACACTGTTTTATTTCTCTATATGTATTGATCACCACATGGTTTTCATGAAAGGTAATCTCTGGTTATGCATTTTTCCATCATATGCACAGTTTGATTAGTCCAGGTTTATGACAGGTGTACTTTAGGGCACAGATGTGGTTGTGTCTGGTGCAGTTCAATAGGATAGTAAAGGTTTTCCAGCGAATCCCTACAGATAGACAAGCATCTGGTTTTTATGTTGCTTTCCATCTAACGTTAGGGTTTTTGGCATTTAATTAGACTTTAACATTTATATCATCATTTGGGTATACAGTGATGTTCTGTGGAACTGAAGGGTAATAGAGGATTTAGGAAGACCACATAATATCTTAAACAGGATGAAATGGGCAAGATGTATTAAAGAATAGAAACTATTTACAAGCATATTGGTGTATTCATAAAGGGGATGCTGATCTGAATCCTAATGTCTGTCTTCTTTATTGTATCTATGTTTTTACCTGTTTAGTTAGATAACATGTGCTTACCATCAGTGTTGTTGTCTGCAGGTGAGAAGCTTATGAAGTATGGTTATCCAGATTTGCACTATGATATGAATCTGGCTTATGAAAAGGAAGCAGAGTTAATGCAGTCTCAAATGATGGACCAGGCCATTAGCAACGCCATCACCTACTTGGGAGCAGATGCACTGAGACCGCTGATACACCATTCCACTGGCGCCATAGCCGAGGTCCCCCCTGTTATTGGTCCAGTTTACCCTCAGATGTACCATCCAGGCAGGATGGAGCGGCCAACCAGCAGGGAAACCTCAGACAGCAATGACAATAACATTGATGGCCCAATCTCCCTTATCAGACCAAAGAGTCACCTTCAGGAGAGAGAGGTATCGCCCAGCAACAGCTGTCTGGACACCACTGATTCGGAAAGCAGTCATGATGATCGACAGTTATACCAAGGGAACCATGCCTTAAACTCCAAGAGAAAACCGAGTCCAATGTATCCCAAGGAAGACGGTAAAGCTCTAGATGCCACAAAGGCTACTTTGAGCTCTTCCAAAGATGTCTATCGAGTCTTCAATGGTGAAGGAGATCAGGTCAAAGCCTTCAAATGTGACCACTGCCGTGTGCTTTTCCTTGATCATGTCATGTACACTATCCACATGGGCTGTCATGGATATCGGGACCCACTAGAATGTAATATTTGTGGTCACAGGAGTAAGGACCGCTATGAATTCTCTTCACACATTGTGCGGGGGGAGCACCCTTTCCAATAGTTTGTAGGTGGAGCAGTCCTGCTGTGAAGTGGACCTGCACATGAAGAATACTGCACTTACACATCAAATTTCCTTTTGACTTTAGTCTAACACCATAATGTTTGATGCATTTTTCAGTTTACAGGTACTGCATCATAAAATATTTGTATCCATTCTTTTTAGATATTATGAGGAGCAGGTACCACCATTGGTGGTATTGCCAGAGTTTGCTGCAAGTGGTCTTGAAAGTAGATATATGCTTTTGTATCCATCAAACGTATCTCCTGTAAAATACATTTGTAGCTTAAATGTAGCTCTAAGAGAACTATGCCTAGTCTACAGCATTGACTAGTGATTTGAAAGATGAAAAGCCACCTTTTTAAGTTATAACTCCCCTATTTAAATTATCAGTAGCCGTTCCACAGTTTAGCCCTAATTAAGCAGTTATGCTTTCTTCTCTTGGCAGAGTTTTGAGGTGAATAAGAGTAATATATGCAGCTAAATGCCCTTTGACCTATTAGCCTGTTACATAGTTTGCATACGCTCTGTGTGATAAGTTATGGGATAAAACCACCTACAAACAATTGTTGATTCATATTACACTAGTTCATTGTACTCTAGGTTTTGTACTTATTCAGGCTCACTCCATAAATCAGCAATGCACAATGATAAGGTGCAAAATAAAGTTAGCAACCATGGAGACTTCTTATTACCAAAGTCCAAGCAGTAAAAGATGATTTCTGACTAACTGTTCTGCGGCACTGCATTTTGCACAGTTCTTGCTGCCTCATTGAATGGACGCTGTTATGTGTCAAAGTGGTACGGTTTGTTCTATAGTCGCATATTCGTAGATATAAAATATCTATGACTATTCATGAAAGTGTAAACAGCCTGTTTTGTGACACAAAGAATGTTCATTCACTATGCATTTAAGGACCGTTCTTATGAAAATGGATCCCTAGTAGGCACAGTGGACTCGTCTTTGGCTGTGAATTGTCACATGCACTTTAGCATAATAACTTTTGCCATGGCTGAGAAACTGGAACACAGTGTCACAGATGGACCAGTAGGTGTGCAGTCTAGTTCCCACAAATTGTTATTAAAGCAGATTTTTTTGGGGGGGATAGCGTATAGAAGGGTCACTTTATCCATTCATGTTTTTGTTGCTGCCTGTGCAGATTTCCCTTCATTTGCTATCCTGGTGAACATATAGACACTGAGAGAAAATCTTCCCAAGAGGGGCATCTACAGCAGTTACAACCTGACCAAGGTTCTAACCCTTCCCCACTCAATCTAGAACTAGAAACAAAAGCTTTGGTAGGAGTTGAGCTTTAATATATTGGATTATAAGTCCTCGTTATAGCAAGGCTGATATAAATTGTTGCCTCACAGCTGACTGAACAAACCACATGTTTTTGGTAAACAGAACATTCTGAAAATAGATGCGTAAGCAGGTTATCTCTTAAAATATACCTCATATAATGCATTTAATGCATTACACATACAGTGCATAGTGATGATATGGGTCCCAGTTCTAATAATCAGAAGCCTGTGGTTTTTCTGCTAGCATGTGTCAGTATGTATCTTCTTATTGATTCTTGAAACACTGCTGTATATTTCTTATGGGGAAAAACGTTTTGGCCTTTTTTATATAGATCAACATATACTGGGCTGCTGGACAGAACAAACTGCCTAGAGTAAGTGATCCAAGTAACAAAGCAGCTTAAATATGCAAAGCCCTTGTAAATCCAACTACTCCTGTGTACCAGAAAACACCTGTGTAACATACTTATCTGCTCTTTCTAGATAGTGTTATCAGTTCTTTTTTGTATCGCTGGTATAACTGTGAGCAGTCATGCCCACTACGGCCAGATGTGTTTTTACTATTTTGCCAGCAAGGAACAAAAATATCTGTGCGCTACTATTTTTATGAATGGTCCAGATATTATATCTGCCATGCTATGATAAAATGCAAGGTGCTATATATACCTGATTCCAGTGAATATAGGGAACTTTGGCTGTTCGTTTGTTAGGGTTGGATTTCATGGGTCATTTCATATTACTTAAAGTGTTAAAGTGTATGTATAGCCAAAACTTTTTTTTCTAAATCAGAATAGGTTAAATAACAAAAAAAACTCCAGTCAGGTTATATTTTTGCTGTCTTTGTCCTGCTGGGAAGATTTGCCTTCACATCCTGGAAATGCAACATGAAATAAGTAGAAATCTCCACAAAATGGGTGTAAGGCAGTTGTCAATGGAATAATTGTTCCATTTGGGAAATTTACCCTTGGCTCTTGATCTGGTGACGACTCTAAAATTTAAAATTTCTCCTCACTTTTTGTTGCAGCGGCAATGGTCCCCACGGAATCTTCCCGACTGGTAAACAGACCGCAATAAAAACCTTGAGGTTCCAACTCATCCACCCTTCAAAGTGTTGCCCATTCAGGACAGAGTGACCTGTCCTCTCAAAAGGGACCCCCCACCTTTGCACTGATACTTGCTTTCCCCACGGTCCCTTAGTCATCTCTCAGAACCTTTATATATACCCAGTACTTTCGGGTATGTGAGCGCATGTGACTTTCCTCCTCTCTTTCCAGGATGCATTGCTAGGGCCTAAGCAGCCGATCGGCAGACAAGAACACTGTCACATTGCAGAGGGTAGACTGTCCCTGAACATATGTACGGATTACACTCTGCGATCCAGCTACTAAGAGGGTGGCAGAGAAGCCCAGGAAAAAAAGTATCAGTAGATTGGGGGGATTCCCTTTCACAAGAACATGTCACTTTGCCCTAAGTGACCAAATTAGAGGTGAAAATTAATCACTGGAATATTTCTACATGATCCATAACACCACAAGCATTTTTTGTGTTGGGTCAAGGCAGCTTATTTTATCCTCAATTACTAAAGAGGATTGATAACATACTGATAGGAGTGTTTGTGACCAGGATTCTGCAGTCATACCCTTTTATATCCCAATCATATATGTTTTCAGACTTCTGTATTATGTTGAAAAAGATTAAGATCTCTGCTGGTTAGTTGATATACTGGCCCCCTGAGGGAAAGCACAAATAATCAGATCTCTGTGCAAATTTATTCCTACATAAGCACCTTTATTCCCCTAAAGGGGTTCCCTCCATTGGTAGTTGTGAGATATGACTTGGATCTTATAAAAAAAAAAACCCTTACTGTTTCTTCACAACACATTGGAATCTCTTTTATATGCTTGTTTTTGTTGAGAAAAGCATAATCAGATTATAAATCTGCAATTTAAAGGAAAACGGCTGGGTTCTCTTTCAGATGTCTCAACTATTATATTATATACAGATTCTTAAGCACAGTGAAGAGGAAATATGTTTCTTGTATACAAAGTTAAAGTAAGCCTGTCATAAGGCTGCGACTGCAGACCTGAGGATTCTTTTTGTCTCGCTGTCCTTTTTGAGTCACTGACCAAAACAATTATGTAGGTCAGGAAAGCAGAGAACGGTCAGCCGTACTTACCTGCATAGTTGTCCTGGGTCGGTGAATAAAATGGTTTTGAAGCAAGTAAGGTAGCATAAGAGCCAGGCAACTGGAATGTTCAGTGTTCTTTTAAAGTTGAGAATGTTCTTGAGTGGTCATACTGTGTATTTATTGTCATTCCCCTGTACACTATATGGCAGCAATTGTTTCCTTGTGAATTAATTGGCCTCATAAAAATATGACTACCTACACAATGTTAAGTTGAAATAAGTAAATGGCATCTTTATCCAGCTGAAGGGTTCTTTCTTCCAGTCAGATTGACCCTTAAAAGAGGTCTGAGCCTTCCCCTGACAACTTTACCCATACTGCAGTTGGTAGATTTTTTTTATTTGATGATTTGTTGTTTTAAAATAAGTCTCTTAGAAAGCTAACAACACAACACGGTACGGAAAGGGTTTCTATGAGATTTTTAATGGGAGACATTTCAAAGACTTTTGAAGATATTCACTGGATGTTCATGATCCCAATACTGAAAAAGTTTATTTTAATTGAACATACACATAACAGTATCCATTATCTTTACTGTGCTTAAAATCTTAACTTGCATGAATAGAAATTTTGCTCAGAGGCAGGTCCTCTTGTGAAAGGTATTAATCTTTGGTCATTCAGGCTGCACATGCTGATTTATATCCATTTGTGTAAATAAAATGTATTTAATCTGGAGTAATAATACAGTCAAAGGAAGTATATTTCTGAACACTCTTACCTTATTTAATAAGGCAAATAGTAATGTGCAAACTGCAGTAGCCCATAGCAACCACATTTCAGTTTAATGTAATACGCTTAGTGGAAAGTGAATTCTGATTAGTTGCTATAGGTAAGAACTTTTTTTTTTTTTTTTTTTTTAATTAAGCCAAAATATTTAAAAACTTGACATTTCTGCTCCCCATGTAGCTAAAACTTTGTAAATCTCCCGGATTTCTGCATTTTTAACAGAAAGATGGGAGCGATGACCTTTTAACCACCTGCCCCTCTTTATGTTTAATGTTTTAGTTTGGTGGAGAAGTGTGAAGCTATTAGGGTACTCTGTGCATTTCTACTGTAGACACTGTGAGATTTAATAATGAAACCAATTCTTATTTTCTGTTTTACACATCACTTTCAGTGGTACTTTGTAATTTATGTTATTTTATATAGTAACTGGAATGTTCAGATTTTATGTAAGCTCCAACAGTACAGATCGATGTTATGGTTCTTGTCAGCGGACAGACGAGAAGTTTCTGTTTTGGGTGCCGGTTACTTATCTAAAACAACGTTTTTCCCAACATTTGCAGCATTTCTTTTTGGATTTTTTAAGTCAACGTGTTTTTTTTTTATCCCTTTCATTACTTGAACTGTGTTAGCTGTGGGGAATGCACTTCGTCTGGACTTGGGTACCTAAACCCCAAACGTACCTCCAGCGACACTCCAGTGTGTCAGAAGAGGATACTCCAACTTGTCCCTTTTGCTATGCACTTAACTGGTGTCCAACACCGCTGACATATGTCTCTGCACAATGTAA